TAATTTCCTCTCTAATCTTTTTATCTAATTCAACACTCATCACAACTGTTTTTTCATTATTTAATTTATAATTTGCCAAATGGCTATATACTCTAACTTCCTCCATCAGATAGTTCAAAGAGCTGACTGGTTCAGTAATAGACAAGAGTATATCGTCCGCATAAAGACTTATTTTAAATTCTCTATCTCTTATTCTATATCCTTTTATATCTACATTTTTTCTAATATTTTCCGCTAAGGGCTCTATTGAAAGAACATATAATAATGGGGAAAGTGGACATCCTTGTCTCACCCCATTATTTACTGATACCCAATCTGAGCAAATATTTGGGCCTACTATTCTAGTTGAAGGATTCTTATATAAAGCCATAATACCCCTTAACAACCAGCCTTCTATTCCATATGCTTCTAAAGTTAATTCTAAAAACTTCCAGTTTAACCTATCAAAGGCTTTTTCTGCGTCAACTGCTAAGGTCATAAGAGGAATATGTTTCTTATTAGCATTATAAATTATATCCATAATTCTTCTTGAATTAGAACCTATCCACCTATCTGGAATAAAACCTATTTGATCATTGTGAATGAGCTTATTAATGATACTCTTAAGGCGGTCTGCCAATATAGATGAGAATATTTTGACATCTGAATTAATTAGAGAGATAGGGCGATAACTGGCTACACTAGTTGGATCTTTTCCTTGTTTCAAGATGGGGAGCATATTAGCTCTAGTCATCTCTTCAGGAAAACTTCCTATTTGGACCGCATTATTAAATGTTGATGCTAATTGTTTACTCAAAATAGATTTATAAGTATGGAAAAACAAATTAGAAAATCCATCTGGGCCTGGTGTTTTCAACTTCTGGGTTTTAGATATAGCCCTGTTCACCTCAGCTTCTGTAATCGGATTATTAATGCTGTCTTTCTGAATCTGATCTAATTTAGTAAGATTTGTACTAGTTAAATACTGTTTGATCTTATTTGTAGTAACTTCAACCGGGAGATTATATAGTAACTCATAATAATCTCTAAAGCAGTCCCCAATATCTTTTGGATTTGTATAAGATATTTGATTATATATAATCTTAGATATACGAGCATTAGCATATTGTTTCCTCAATTTATTAGTTAGCATCTTATCTGTTTTGTTCCCTCTACAATAGAATCTCAATTTCAGTTTTTTAATATTTTCTATTGTTTTAATATTTAAGCATTGCAAAATATTTTTTTGTACTTCTGATATTCGTCTTCCTTTCTCCATTGTGGGCTCTGCTTTATTATCTGTTGTAAGTTTATAAAGTTCAATGTATAGATCACTAAGTCTCTTTACTTTTAGCTTCATGGTTTAGCTTTATAAGATAGCCTCTTACAACTGCTTTAAATGAACACCATGTATTCAGATATGAAGTTTCTAACGGATCGTTCTCTTTAAAGAAACATATTATCAATTTCTCTAACTTAATCTTACTCCTTTTATTGTATAACAGATAGTTATTTAATTTCCATGTTGTATTCTTTATAGCTGTCATCTTATTTTTTATTTCAAATATGTACATACTATGATCTGACCATACATTTTCCACTATATTTATCTTTACCAAATTGTCTATTAGAGTTATATTGCCCCAGATCATATTGATTCTTGAGTATGTAAAATGTACTCTAGATAGATGGGTATAGTCTCTTAATTCAGGATTTTGAAGACGCCAAGCATCGAATAAATCAAATTTGTTTTTCACATTGGTCAATAAGCTCGCATTTTTAATTATTGTTTTGTTCATTACGCTCCCTTTCAGCAGTTTTTTATCCTTTTGTGGATCCAGTATACAATTAAAATCTCCTGCCACTATATATATCCCAGTTTTGACTAAATCCGCTTTATCTAGTATTTTCTTCAATTGAGAAACTGGAGCTACATTTGGTAAATATATGTTAACTATCGTATATTTAATATCATTTATCTTACCTACTAAAATCATAAATCTTCCGTCTTTATCTAATTCCTGGTAAAGGTTCTCCCACTTAACCCTATCTGAAATTATCATTGCTACACCTCTTTTTTTTTTATCCTTCATAGAAGCATGTAAAAAGATTGGGAGCTTATTGCCTCCCCATGTTAATTTCTAATTTTGTCTCCAGTGTGTCTCCTGAACTAAACAGATATCTATTTTTTCTTTTATCATTTGATTTCTTTCATTTTCATTAATCGTAGTTTAACAATGAGTAACCATCTTATAATATTTTCTCCTATACCTAATACCATTCTAACACGTTTTTCTAACAAACAAAAAAAAAAATTGTTCCTTTCTTTTTCTCTCTTTCTTTTCCTTCCCTTTTCCTTCATCTTTTAGTATTTTTTGACCAGACTTCTTAATTTTTAACTAAAGTGAATAGTCTTCTCATTATTCGTTGACTTTTTGCTTGAGATCTTTTGATTTTAGGAGTATAAACGATTTTAACCAGGCTTCTAAATCCTTTTCTTTTTTCTTTCCCTTTACTTTTCTTTCTATCCTCTCTTCCTTCTTCTAGTTGAAATAGATATTCTCCATTTTTCTTCCTCCTGCATAGTTCTTTTAAACTCATTTAACTTGATAGAGGGTTTGCCATCCTCAACATCTTAGGTCTTTTAGCCAGTTGTACAAAAAAAAAAAAAAAAGTCCTTTATTTTTAAGAGAATATTGTTTTTGTCCAGGCTTCTAGATCTTTAACTGAAGTGAATTGTCTCCATCTTTCTTCCCACCACACAATTATTTTAGATGATTGTACCCATTTATATTTCATATTGTTTTGCTTCAATGGGTCTAAGGCTTGATAAAAAGTTTTTCTCCAGGTTCTTGTTTGCATTGATAGATCTTGAAATATAATAATATCTTTAAATTTCTCCGGTAAGTTAACTTTATTCCTCAACAGATTTACCACTTGTTGTTTATGTGAGTAGGAAAGAAAACAGACGATAACATCCCTTGGGTAATGAGCTGGAACCTCACTAGGTTTTCTTAGTCTATGTGTTCTTTCAATTATAGGCAGAAGGGCTTCATTCTGCAGACCAACTTCTCGAAAAAAAGAAAGCAAAAAATCTTTTAATAGATCTTGAGTTACAGATTCCGGTATATTTCTAAGACGCACATTACATCTCCTTGATCTATCTTCTAGATCTCTAATCTTCATATTCATTTGCTGTATTAAAACTTCTGTTTGATTGTTCTCTGTTTGCAGATTTTTTATTTGACCTTCCATTATATTAATTTTCTTTAATGCAGAACTCAGCTTTGTGTTTATTTTCTCCATCTCCAATGTAATTATATTAGAGCTGTTTATGATCTAATTAGCAATATGTGCCATTTGCTCGTCCAGTTTATTCACCAAGAAATCTTGAGAAACATAACTCTTCTGTTCTGCATTATAAGCATTTGTTGTTTGTGTATTCTGATCCTGATATATCATATCACTATCCTTATGGCCTAATTTTTCTTTATTAGGGGAAAAAAACCCCGACAATCTTGTTCGCTGAGAATCATCCTTTTTATCTCTAATTTTTATTTGTTTCTTAGACGCCATTACTGAGCAATATGCTCGGATATACTCAGATATTTTTTATGTAGGAGCTTTCTTTCTCCTGTCCTTTCTCCTTTTCTTATCTTTTCTTTTCCTTTTTTAAATATGCACTGGTTATATCTATGATGTATCGATGATGTGCAAAAGTGGTGTGCATTAGCAATAATTGAAAACAACTAACATAATCAGCATGAATCATATAG